TTGTTGCAATAAAGTATCATAGACTATCAATATCAAACTTTCATCATCTGATTGTGATACTTGAGATCGTCAATGGGCTAAAAATGACTTTTACAAGTAACAAATACCAACTTAAAATGGCTATTGTATGACCTGACCAGATTAAGCCAAGCTCGTGAAATAGTCAGTAAATCCAAGCCAAAATTAACATTGTGATAAAAGGCACTTAAAATCAGGTGATTCACATATTTTTTGGAAATCACATTTTGAGATGAAAATCTCCTGCAGATCATTCAACTTGAAAAAAAAATCAATGATGCCTTATATTAGAATCTGCAAAGCAATTGTATTTCAGGCTGGCCTCCTCCACTGGTCCCCAGCATCACTGATGCCAGTCTTCAACCAATTTGATTTACTCCATGTGATATCAAGAGGCAGTTGGAGACACTGGACACTGCAAAGGCTATGGACCCTGACAATGCACTGGCAATACTACTGAAGACTTGTGCTCCAGAACTTGCCATGCCCTTAGCCAAGCTGTTACAGTACAGCTACAACACTGACATCTACCTGACAATGTGGAAAATTGCCCCGAGTATGACCTGAACAGAAAAAGCAAGATAAATCTGACCCTGCTAATTGCCATTTCATTACAGTATTTTTGATCGTCAGTAAAGTGATGGAAGGTGTCATCGAAGTAATCTTAAGCAGCATCTGTTCAGCAACAACCTGCTCAGTGATGCTCAGTTTGGATTCCACCAGGGCCACTCAGCTCCTGACCTCGTTACAGCCTTCATTCAAACATGGACAAAAGACTTGAATTCCAGAGGTGAGGTGAGAGTGACAGCTCTTGACATCAAAGCTGCATTTGACCAAGTGTGACATCAAGGAGCCCTGGCAAAACTGGAATCAATGGGTATCAGAGGCAAATTCTTCACCGGTTAGAGTCATACTTCACACATAGGAAGATGGTTGTGACTGTTGGAGTTCAGTCTTCTTGGCTCCAGAACATTTCTGCAGGAGTTCCTCAGGGTAAAGTCCTAGACCCAACCGTCTTCAGCTGCTTCATAAATGACCTTCCCTTCATTATTAGATCAGATGTGGGAATGTTTGCCAATGATTGTGCAATGTTCAGCACCATTCATAACTCTTCAGTTGTTGAAGCAGCCCATGTTCAAATGCAACAAGATCTGGACAATATCCAGGGTTGGGCAGAAAGGTGGCAAATAAATTCATGCCACACAAATGCCAAGCAATGACCATCTCTAATAAGAGACAATGTAACCAATGCTGTTTCATATTTAGTGGCATTACTTTTGCTGAATTCCCTACTATCAACATTTTGGGCGTTACCATTAACCGGAAACTGAATTGGACCTGCCATACAAATAAAATGGCTATAAGAGCAGGTCAGAGGCTAGGAATACTGTGGTGAGTAACTCACTTTCTCTCTCTCCAAAATCTATCCAGCTTCTACGAGACAACAGTCAGGAGTATGATAGATATCTCCCCACTTGCCTGGATGAGTGCAGCTCTAACAACACTCAAGAAGATTTACACCATCCAAGACAAAGCAACCTGCTTGGTTGGAACTATGTCCACAAGCATCCACTCCCACCACCAGCAATGGTCAATAGCAGCAGTGTGTATTATCTACAAGATGCACTGCAGAAATTCACCAAAGATCCTGAGACAGCACCTTCCAAACCCATGACCACTTCCATCTAGAAGGACAAGGGCAGCAGGTTCGTGGGAACACCACCAACTACAAACTCCCCTCCAAACTTCTCACAATCCTGACTTGGAAGTATATCGCCATTCCTTCATGGTTGCGGAGTCAAATTCATGGAATTTTCTCCCTATTGGCATTGTTGATCTACCTACAGCATATTGACCACAACAATTTAAGAAGACAAATCATCACCACCTCCTCAAGGGCAATTAGGGACAGGCAATAAATGCTGGCCAGCCAGTGATGCCCTGTCTCACAAGTGAATTTAAAAAAATAGCCTTGAGCAACCAGGTAGAGAGCAAAAATGAAATAAAATTTGACAACAACCAGAGTTTGGAAGTCTGTCTCTCCCCTGACCGTCTCAACTGCAGAAACCGTGCCCAGTGAAAAAGCAACTTGGAGTAACAGCCATTCACCAAGAACTCAAGGATATCTGCAAACTGCTGCTGAAGAAAAAAAACAACACTAAAAAATAGGATTCCAGTTATCATGACAACTTGATGACTCAAAAACTTTACACTGCAGTTCCTTTGCCTTCCTATCTGTACTAGATACCCTCTATTCTCCTACCCATCCCGCTTTTAAACTTAATACCTTCACTGAGTGTATGTTTGGTGCCACATTTTTATTCTTTGTTTTGGTGTAGTAGGTGATAAATTTAATTTTTATTTAACTCGAGAAAACCTAATTTGGCTCCTTCATTTTGATCTAATTAGTTAGATTTTAAGTGAAGTATATTTACTGAGAAGGTTGTGAATTTTTGGTATTCTCTACCATAGAAGGCTGTGGAAACTCAGTCTTTGAGTAAGTGTAAGGATAAATTTCTAATTACCTATCGCATTTGTCCAGTGTAAGAGAATTAAAAGTTGAATTTACACGACACCTGTTTGATCAGTGAGTCACAGTTTTGCTTATATTGTAATACTAACATTCAAGAGTGCAAGAGTTTCTTGTTCACCTGACAAAGGAACAACGCTCCGAAAGCTTGTGATTTCTAATAAACCTGTTAGATTATAATCTGGTATCATGTGACTTCTGTCTTAAACTATCAAAATGGCACCATATTGTGGTGACGAATGAAACCTTTTCGCTGTATCTTACTGTATATCTCATTGTAACATACACGTAAAATAAAAATCATTCATGCATTTATCATCAAGCCTGCTTTTTGGTAGATGCCATCTAGTTAGCGACAGGTGAAGTCCCGGAAGACTGGAAGGTAACGAATGTTGTGCCCTTATTCAAGAAGGGCTGTAAAGAAAAACCTGGGAATTATAGACCAGTAGGCTTAATATCTGTGGTAGGTAAGTTACTTGAGATGATTCTGATGGATAAGATGTACATGCATTTAGAGAGACAGGGTTTGATTAGGAGTAGTCAGCATAGCTTTGTGTGTGGGTGTTCATGTGTCACAAATTTGCTAGAGTTCTTTGATGAAGTGACCAGGAATGTTAATGAGGGCAGGGCGGTAGACGTGGTCTGAATGGATTTCAGTAAGGCCTTTGATAAGGTTCCACATAGTAGGCAGCTCTGGAAGGTTAGATCACATGGAATCCGGGGAGAGGCAAATAGGCTTGATAATAGGAAGCAGAGGGTAATCTGGAAGGATGCTTGTCTGACTGGAGGCCCGTGACTAGTGGTGTGCCTCAGGGGTCAGTGCTGGGCCCATTGCTGTTTGTTATTTATATTGATGATTTGGATGAAAATGTAATCGGCGTAATCACTAAGTTTGCGGATGATTCTAAAATAGGCAGTATCGTGGACAATGCAGAAAGTTATCAGAAATTGCAGCAGGATCTTCATTAGCTGGGGAAGTGGGCCAAGAAATGGCAAATGGAGTTTAATATAGATAAGTGTGAGGTGTTGCATTTTGGAAAGTCAAATCAAGGTAGTTTCCTGGTGAATGGTAGGGCCTTAAGGAGTGTAGTGGAAGACAGGGACCTTGGAGTTCAGGTGCACGGTTCTCTGAAAGTGGAGTCACAGGTAGACAGGGCAGTGAAGAAGGCTTTTGGTACACTGGCCTTCATCAGTCAGGGTAATGAGTATAGAAGTTGGGAAGTTATGAGCAGTTGTACATGACTTTGGTAAAGCCATACTTGGAGTATTGTGTTCAGTTTTTGGTCACCTTGCTATAGGAAGGATGTTATTAAACTGGAATGAGTGCAGAAGAAATTTACAAGGATGGTGCCAGGACTTAAGGGAAGAGTTATAGGGAAAGGTTGTGCAAGCTAGGACTTTTTTCTTTAGAGCGTAGGTGACTGAAGGGGGATTTTATAGAAGTGTATAAGATCATGAGAGGCAAGGATAGGGTGAGTGCACTGAGTCTTTTTCCTAGGGTTGGGGAATTGAGGACTAGAGGGCATCTGTTTCAGGTAAGAGGGAAAAGAATACATGGAAACCTGAGGGGCAACTTTTTTACACAGAAGGTGGTATGCATATGGAATGAGCTGCCAGCGGAAGTGGTTGAGGTGGGTACATTAACAACAGTTAAAAGGCATTTGAACAAATACATGGATAGAAAATGCTTAGAAGGATATGGGCCAAGTGCAGGGAAATGGGCTTAGCGTGGATGGACATTTTGGTTGGCACGGACCAGTTTGGGCCAATGGGCCTGACTCTGTGCTGTAGGACTCTATGACTCTAGTTGAGCCATATATGACAGTCACTTGTAAATGTGCATAGCCTGTTTTTTCCCTTGCTATAGCTCACCATTTTCGGAAGCTGTCCTTTGTATCTGCCAGCCACAAGGCTTTTATTTATGAACTTCCCTTCTGTTAGTACTTCTTCCAGGTCAAAGGTTGCCATGTCGTAGCCAAGAAAATATAATTGATCCTTTTACAATTTTGGCAAACACTTGGAAGTATTTTTGAAATGTTTTTAAAATCAATTACACACTCCATACTCCATAGACATTTTAAAGAGTTTAAATTGTCCTTAGTATACTCCTCCCAGATTAAAGATCATCAAAATACTGCATTTAAAGTGCCAGCAGTGACACAGGCTAAAGGAGCTAATGGCCTTCCATTACGTTTTGATTTATTTGATTTTATGATATGTCAAATAGCTGTAATTCCTCTTTATATGATTCTGCAACCTTGTACTTTTAAGTTTACAGCAGAGTGGGAGGATATTTGACCCAGTGTTAGTCCTAGTCTATTGAAAAACCCATCCAATTAGCTCTGCAGCTCCATTCTAACTCATAGCCCTGTATTGTTGGGCTGACATTCTCTGAGTTTCTGTGTGTTAACCTTTCTGTATTCTATAAAAGATTCTTTTCTTTGCCTTTCAGGTTGGAAACCTTGGGTTATTGTTCATGCTTTTGTTTTTTATCTATGCGGCTCTTGGAGTTGAACTCTTTGGAAAACTGGGTGAGACTTTAATTGATATCCTCATCACAGCCAGTTTAGATATTTTCTAATCAGGAATATTATTACAAATCTTTGGAACAGGTGACACTTGAACCTGGGTCTCCTGGCTCAGAGGTAGGGGCACTACCACTGTGCCACAAGAGCTTAATTATCAGAGTTTATTTCAATGCTTAAATAGGAGTTCATGCCCTCATTTAGTTTTGTTAAACTACCCAGTGGGTTCTATTAAAATGGAGGGGGCTGGTTTGCAACACAGCATGGCATCAATTCCTGAATGGCTGAGGTTACCATGAAGGGCTGTCCTTCTCAACCTCTCCCCTCACCTGAGTCATGGTGACCCTCAGGTTAAGCCACCACTAATTATCTGTCTCTCACAATAGAACAGCCCTATGGTTTGCTAAAACTACTGTAACTCTGCCTTTGTTAAAATTATTTTCAATGTAAACTATAAAATTCATCACTTCCTGCATTTTAAATATGTCCAAACTAAAAGTTGGCACAAAGCAGTGGAAATTCAAATAAAAGAGAATTATCAGTTACATCAAGGTAAAGCACTTAATATAGTCTTCGATAATGAATTGGACTATTTTGCTTCTCAGTTTGCAACGATGAAAATCCATGTGAAGGCTTGAGTCGACATGCAACATTTGAGAATTTTGGAATGGCATTTCTAACTTTATTCCGAGTTTCTACTGGCGATAACTGGAATGGAATAATGAAGGTATGTAATTACTTCCACTGAACTGTTAAGCTCAAGCATTAGTAATACACCAACAACCTATTAATTAGAATGTCCCAATGAAATTAAATGATCTAATTTATCTGTATTTATGTTAAATTCAGTTTACTTTGTTCATCAGTAATTAATGGTATCTACCTACAGTCTTTATCTCAGAATATTATACCTTATAAGGTATAAAATAAGGAGGAGCAGGACTGAGTTGAGGAGAAACTTCTTCACAAAGGGTTGTGAATCTGTGGAATTCCCTGCCCAGCGAAGCAGTTGGGTCTACCTCTTTGGATGTTTTTAAAGCAAAGATAGATATATTTTTGAACAGTAAAGTAGTGAGCAGGTTGGTAAGTAGGTCTGAGTCCACAAAAAAATTGGCCATGATCTTATGAATGGCGGAGCAGGCTCGACGGGGCAGATGGCCCACTCCTACTTATTGTTTTATGTTCTTATGTTCTAATATATTTCTAATGCTTTTGAATTTTAATGGGAATGGAATAGGCTACTTGACTGACAGCAACCATTCAATTCATAACAAAGAAGATCATTTCCCCACGATAAATGAGTGAATTAGTATTGGGTAAGAGGAAAATATCATAAAATACTCAACGGCTCTAGAACTGCCTCTAAGTCATCCACTTCTGGGTTTAGTAGCAGAGTGGGGAGTCAAATTGCTCCCATGTGATGGGGCTTTTCATCTAAATGTTATAATGAGTCTGGGAACCTCACAGACATTCAGGTTTACACCTGACCAGCTAGATTTCCTAAGCTTCAGGAAATGTGCAGTTCAAGGAGGAGTGAACAACTTCACTGGCTTGTGGGCCAGGATAATGAGCAAGCACGCTTCCTCCTACTCATGTTTATCTCTTCCTCTGCCCAAAGACTATGATCTGTCTTCTCCAAAAAAGATTTGAATGCTTCAAGAGGTCAGGTGTATATCCCAAGTGTTGATATTTCCAGCTATTTCTATTGAGTTCTGATAATTTCAGACAATTGTAGTGTTTCTTAATGTTGTGCATTAAAGATGGGATTTGATTCACATTGTTCTTTCAATGACTACCGGTTCCTCAGTGGACTGTCTGGGGGCGAGGCAAAGAAAAGAGCCAGCATGCATCTTAAAGGACAAGTGAAACTGAAGGGCAAGGCAACTGAGACAGTTGTTGGGAACATTCCTTTTGTTTGAATACAGAACAATATTGACAAAAGTGTAGTTGGAAACAGGTCACCAGATCTCTGTCTTGGAGTGACATTTAAAGGCAGATAATCTTTTAACAAGGATTCACTTTGTCTTTTTTTAACGTTAAGGTATGAATTCTCAAGACTCACTCTTGGGAAGGGGTACAATGCTTGCAACATCTCCACCAAACCATGAGCGTGCATGTTGGATTGAAGCAATGATTTCAAAATATTTTTAAAATGTATTAAGAGTAATCAATGATTTTGCTGGCAGGCTTGCAAAAAGATCTAACTCTAAGTTGATTATACTTCTATTTGTAAGATTGACAGGCATACTATTTGAAGAGGAGATTGATACAACAATGATGTGAATCCTACCAAAGAATTGAATGAAATCCAAAGAAACTAATTATATTCCACAGGTTAATTGTGATTTTTGCCAGGTCTACAAACAAACTATAACAGCAACAGAGATTAAGGCTGATATTTTGCCCTCATACTGCTGAAATACATCTGATTCTAATTTTCATCATTCTACTAGATTCCACACAATGGGCCACCTTTGTCCGGAAAAATTAAGTTATTGTAATTGTGCCCTTCTCAATATCATTGCACAGTAATTACAAGCAACAGGTGTTCTACATTGCTGGGTTTAAACTCCACTACCTTACCTTATGGTCATTTGAACTACAAAGCTTCTTTCAAAATAATGATCCTGCATATGTAGTGTGAACACAGGATATGATGTGACCTTCACTTGAGATGAGGCTTTTCTTTTTTGAAATGCCAGAAGGTCTCAGTAAAATCACTATAATTATGATTGAGCAGGATAGATGAGCCATAGGAAGAGGCAATTTACAAATGCTCAGTTCAGTGCCCATGAAATGAACAGCAATCGGAATTCTGAATGGAGTCACCTAGTCAAAATAAATGCCTTGTAGGTTATTAGATAGAAATTCAATGTAGAAAAATACTCAATAAATGTAGAGTTGTATAGTAGACTACCAATAGATGTCAGATTTACTGTCAGGGTCCCAGTAAGGTATTAGATTGTAACAAAGAGGTATAGGTTTGAAAATATAGTTTAAAAATCCACAGGTGAGAATAATAAGGTAGTTTTGCGCATTTCTAAAGTACAACAACGAGAGAATGAAGAGCTTTATACATCTGTCTTGGATCACAGAGTGTATCCAAGCGGTTCTTTTCAGATTTGGTTAAATGTAGTTAAGAGAAGACTCAACAACAGCAATTTGCTTAAATATGAATGTTTATTAAGTAATAATAAAAGACAAAAAAGAAAGGAACATTTATTAAGCAACTGAAAAGAATGAGAAAGAAAAGGAAAAAACAATAAGCCTCATGCCCTTCTGGCCATTGGGGACCCCTCGATCAACGGCTGGGCTGGAGGCTGAGCTTGTTCCGGGCACTGTTCACAGTCCCGGTCTGAGGTGAAGTCCAATGACTTGGAATGAAACTCTCTCTTATACAGTGTAACAAACAGCCAGCACAGAAAATAGCAGATACAATGGACAAAACTGCTGGCTGGTACAGAAAATACAGCTACAAAAAAAAACAAGCTGCAGGTGCCGTCTTTGGCCCATAATGGAATGTTCACAGGACTCGTTCAAGGTCATGCAGTTTGTCGAGTATCATCCTAAACTTTCCCAGCCTATTTTCCCATCCTGTACAATCTATTTTCCCATGTATCTGTTGAATATCATCATTATCTTTTAGTCGTTCAGCCCATCCTGTAAAACATGTTACATATTCCCATCTTAAATGCGTTCCAACTCATGCAAAATTATCTATGTGCATCCTAGCCCTCACTAATACTTGCTGCTCATCACTTATAAACTCCCTGTCCCCTTTGGTACTCATTTTAAAAACAAAAAGTACTGAAATAATCTAGCAGGTCTGACATCATATATGGAAAGTGAAACAAAGTTACTGTTTCAAGCCCAACATGACTCTCCTATTTAGAACACAGATGCTCCAAGACCTTAATCTTCCCTGTGCCTAAAACCTCCTCTAGTCCAATCTGCTAATGTACACAAGAAGTGCTGGAAATACTCAACAGGTCAGGCAACATCTATGGATGGAAACAGAATTAACGGTAACAGTTGTTGGTGGCAGAACTGCAAATGCATGACATTTCCTCGAGAGGTCAAAGGTATGAGCATCAAAATTAAAGGCTGCTAAGACAGGCATTAATTGTCTGTAAGTCAGGGGGAGCGTTCTCATTGCTAAAGATGCTTTTTGGAAGTGCAACCACTGCCACCACTGCTCCACCTGGATCCCTGGAAATGGAAGCCATTGCACCTATCTCAATCAGCTTTTGGCCTTCTCTCCACTGCCCTCATCTCTGACACCATTATCCTTCCCCTGTTTTCAGTGATCTTTGGCACACCCCTATCACCAACTAGCATTGAATTTTGATCTTCCCCATAGCACCATTGAAACTGCCCCTGTTGTCCTTGGCTGGCCATTGATATCCTTGACTCTTCCTCTATCATCTTTGACCTTCCTTGTGTTGACTTTGACTTTCAGGATTTTATCATTGACCTGCCCTGCATAACACATGATCTCCCCATGATCATATTTGTTCTGGCATCTTTCAACATTGACCTTCCCTGTGTAGTCCAGTTTCTTCCACCACAAGACTTCATAGGGCTGCCACTCTCTCTCCCTCCTTCCTTCAATCTCACATGTGTTGTTCTCCTTCCATTGCCATTACCCACTCTCAGTCATCAATGCCTCCCCTCTAGTAGTTGGCAAAGCTCCCCCTACAAGGAAAAGCAGCACCTACTCACTCCAGGGTCACTACAAAGACTACCTTACCTGCTGCATGTCATGCATAACTAATTGTGAACCAGAAGGCCTGGCTGTCTTGTTTGCTGATTACTTAATTCAAAAGGTGCGCTTAATTCTGTTGATGTTGCCTTTTATTGAGCATGCACATCATGCAAATGTATTAAAAATAGGTTCCCAACATCTGCCATGGGAAACATAATCCACTGTGAATTTAATTCCATAGTTTCATACTGCCTTTGGAAGCTGAATTTTGGCCTTCTGCATACTTAAGTGCCTATCATTTTGCAGTTGGGAGCTTCAAAAGATTCTGCCCAACTGATAAAAGGTTTTACAACCTAAAAGATTAACCTTGGTTTTCTGACTAACCTGTTAGATGTTTCCAGCATTATCTGTCTTTATTTTAGATTTGCAGATTCACAACATGTTTCTTTTGTGCTAATATGCACTCCCTGCTCTTCAAACTTTGCTTTGTCTGCTCTGACACAGTCTTCAGTAATCTTGATCTCAACTTCTTGCTGGATCCATCACCCTCATATCTCTCCCCCCAAATCAGAAACCTCATCAAGTCCAACCTCTTTCGCCATTTCTTCGTTCATCTTTGCAAGCTCTACGACAACTGCTAGCCATCCATTTTTACCACTGTTAATGATTTGGGAAATCTTGTTTTGTTGAGTGTGGTGCATAAATGCAAGTTGGTACTCATTCTTTGCACATTTTTTTTTAATTTTCACAGGATACATTGCGAGAATGTGGCAGTGAGGATAAGCACTGCCTCACCTACCTCCCTTTCTTCTCTCCTGTGTACTTTGTCACTTTTGTTCTAATCGCTCAATTTGTGCTCGTCAATGTTGTGGTTGCTGTTCTAATGAAACACTTGGAGGAGAGCAACAAGGAAGCCAAAGAGGATGCAGAGCTTGATGCAGAAATAGAGCTGGAAATGTCACGAACCCAGGGAGCATCAACTAGCAGCATTGGACAAACCCCTATCCTTGACAGCAGAGCCACAGGAGCTGGCCAGGAGTCAGTAAGACTTGAATCACCAGTACACGTAAAACAATTAGTGGTGAGTGCAATTTACACTCTTTCTTTTATTCATAAAGAAGGATCACAAGCAAGCTTATTAGTCAACTTTTTTGGGGTATTGTTAAAATACTTTCAAAAGTACTACAACAAAAGAGGTGCTGCTTTCGTATTAATTAGACTTGGTGATAAATTTTCCCATGTATGTGACAATCCTGACATTGACCACAATTCCCCAGCAGGATGTAGTGTTCACACAGGTTGCCAATTAAAATGTTGCCTCGAGGACACCCATTATTAAGGACAGGACTGAGTTCCAATGTCAAGAGGTCTGTTATGCTGACCTGCTTTGTGGTGTGAGTGTTCGTGGTACCTTCAGAGGAGGGAAGCAACTGCAATTGCTACAAGCGCTACATTAGTTAGGACAATCAGCCACCAGGAGTTGGCTACAATGACATGCCTTCTGCTTGAGGAAATTTAATGCCAGCAACTTAATGAAAGGTCTCATATGGTTCATGGCTTAAACATCCCATGGGCACAGTTGGATTCTTGTGTGAAATTTGTAAAGTTTGAATCCATTTTAAAAATTGGGTTTAATTAACCTATTGATGCCCTAATTGGCTAACTACCACTTCAGGCAGGTTGCCATTGCTGCCGGGAATATGCCTGCAGGAAGAGCATACAGCCATGTGTTTTGGAGCTGGCCTGATGCGATTCAATTGCATTTTCCATGCTCCCTGTCCACTTCCCAAATCATTTCCATTTGTATGGGAGAATTTAGTTCATGGTGTTTAACTAGTGATGTTGTGTTAAGGAAGTAATGATACGTTAGCGGCATTTAAAAGCCTTTGATGATTCTGAACCTCCCCCTTGCCTGAGGTGTAGTGACCCTCAGGTTAAATCACTACCAGTTGTCTCTGTCTCATAAGAGAGCAGCCCTATGGTCTGGTAAGGCTATGGTGACTTGACCATGTTTCAGCTCAATCTGAAAGGAAACAGAATTGTAAATAAGATAACACGGTGTAGAGCTGGATGAACACAGCAGGCCAAGCAGCATCAGAGGAGCAGGAAAGCTGAAGTTTCGAGCCTAGACCCTTCTTCAGAAATGGGGGAGGGAAAGGGGATTCTGAAATAAATAGGGAGAGAGGAGGAGGCGGATAGAAGATAGGTGGAGAGGAGACAGACAGGTCAAAGAGGCGGGGGTGGAGCCAGTAAAGGTGAGTGTAGATCTGAGATGTCGTCTTTCAAGGACCGCAACATCCCCCCCTCAGTGGTCAAGAACGCCCTTGACCGTGTCTCCCGGAATTTCCCGCAACTCATCCCTCACACCCCCTCCCCGCAATAACAACCAAAACAGAATCCCCCTCGTCCTCATGTACCACCCCACCAACCTCCAGATCCAACGCATCATCCTCCGACACTTCCGCCATCTGCAATCCGACCCCACCACCAAAGACATTTTTCCCTCCCCACCCTTATCTGCTTTCCGGAGGGAACACTCTCTCCGTGACTCCCTTGTCCACTCCACACTCCCCTCCAGCCCTACCACGCCTGGCACTTTTCCCTGCAACTGCAGGAAGTGCTACATCTGCCCCTACACCTCCCCCCTCACCCCCATCCCAGGCCCCAAGAAGACCTTCCACATCAAATAGATGTTCACCTGCACATCTGCTAATGTGGTATACTGTATCCGCTGTTCCAGATGTGGCCTCCTCTACATCGGGGAAACCAAGCAGAGGCTTGAGGACCACTTTGTGGAACACCTACGCTCGGTTAGCAACAAACAACTGCACCTCCCAGTCGCGAACCATTTCAACTCCCCCTCCCACTCCTTAGACGACATGTCCATCCTGGGCCTCCTGCAGTGCGACAACGATGCCACCTGAAGGTTGCAGGAACAGCACCTTATATTTCGCTTGGGAACCCTGCAGTCCAATGGTATCAATGTGGACTTCACAAGCTTCAAAATCTCCCCTCCCTCGACCTCATCCCAAAACCAGCCCAGCTTGTCCCCGCCTCCCTAACCTGTCCTTCCTCCCACCTATCCCCTCCTCCCACCTCAAGCCCCACCCCCATCTTCCACCTACTAGCCTCATCCCGCCCCCTTGACCTGTCCGTCCTCCCTGGACTGACCTATCCCCTCCCTAACTCCCCACCTACACTCACCTTTACTGGCTCCACCCCCACCTCTTTGACCTGTCTGTCTCCTCTCCACCTATCTTCTCCTTTATCCATCTTCTATCCGCCTCCCCCTCTCTCCCTATTTATTTCAGAATCCCCTTCCCCCTCCCCCATTTCTGAAAAAGGGTCTAGGCCCGAAAAGTCAGCTTTCCTGCTCCTCTGATGCTGCTTGGCCTGCGGTGTTCATTCAGATCTACACCTTGTTATCTCGGATTTTCCAGCATCTGCAGTTCCTACTATCTCTGAAAGAATTGTAAGTAAACAAGACATAGCAATAGGGTTCAACCTCCGGGTGAATCTGTAAACAATTTCATTAATGACCTCCATGATTAGAGAAAAATTGTGAGGCTTGAAAACAGTTTATTAGAGACAGAATTGTTGTTGGAATTCTTGATGAAACATTGTCAGATTTATTACAGTCAAAAGAATATTTAACTTTTGAAAAAGCTACTCCAATCATGCTGGTAGCAGAAACCAGAAACTCATAGAGAGTTCTTGAGAAATTCAACCCCACCTCAAGAGGACAACAGAGACTATTCTCTTTATAAATTATGGATACTTGGTTAAAAATATACGTCACGGGCCAACACGGAGAGTACATCAAACAGCAGAGGCTAAGAGTCAGAGTCATTTAGTGTTGTGGGAAAATAAAGCCTCACAGGCAATGCCCAGCCATGAAAGGGATGCCTTTTTTTTAAAAAACATTTTAAAATTACTTCCAGAAGATGTGTGGAAGAAAGACAGTGTTAGGACAGTGGAAATACTGGTGGTCACACATGCAAAGAGGTCTACACAATACAAGTTCCACAACTATTGTGAAAAAGAAGGTACCTGCATTAGTCTTTATACCAGGCACCTCTGAGAGAAATTACTGTTTTGAATGTAAGTAGAGATTCAACCAACTCAAGTTTCACAGAGCTTGTTTATATCAATGGACCTTTTATTAATTTGAAACTTTATACAGAAACAAATTTCTCCACCCATCAGATAGCATGCCATGGCTGAAGGAACCGAGGCAGCAGCTTACAAAGACCAAAACTACATGGTCCAGGTGAAACAACTCTTAAAATTAAATTTATATTCCAAATAACACAACACAAACAGTGTATGAGAATTGAAAATGCATATGAGATTCACAATCAACACTCTTCACTTTTGAGAATGCACACAAATCTTGACCTCACTATCATTGAGAGGGCGTTGGATGACCCACTAGTTCAAAGAGAACATCTGGTGCATAAGAAGACCATTGTCAAACAACTGGTCCAGAAGTATTGTCAATCACCGAGTCAAGGAGTTTCTGAAATCTGGGAGGAACCTAAAAAGCAGACTGCTAAGAATTGCATTAAGAATTACAAAGAAATGTTTCACATTGGCATGGAAAGTGGCCAAGCCAAAAGAAGTTCAAGCAAAATTTGACAAGAACAAAAGAGTGACCAAGATTGTTCTACCATACACCAGTATAGTACTAAATGATGGCGAGACTAAACAGTCAGCAAACTGGTCAAGAATACCTACTTTGAGCACTGACAGCATGTCACAATCATAGATGATATACCTGTATATGACAGAAGGTTACTTCATTCATCTGCAGTTTGGGAAGCTGTAATGAAAACAATACATTAGGAACACTTGAGAATTGTCAGGTGTACAACGAAGGCTCAGTAAGCAGTGTGATGGCCATAAAAACTCAAAGGAGATTAAAGATCTCATAATTTGTTGGAAAATATGCAATTGTATGGGATTGTCAGGTGTAGAAAGCACTGCTATCATTACTGAGGACAGATCAGAAAGTAAAGCTGAGCAAAATTGAGAAAAAGCAAATACTGAGAATAAAATTAGTACTTGAGTTCATTTAAAGATCTTTAACTGATGGTGTTCCGTCAGCAGAATAGTCCAGAGAGCAAATTGATACAGCCGAATAGTCAACGCCAGTAATGAAGACAGTGCTGAGTAAGCAGCAATCTTCCAGTTCGATGACTGAGGATGTGAAAAAGTATAGTTCAATCAACATCCACCAAGGGCTATTAAAAGTGTCAACCTAATCAACAAATGAAAAGTTTGTGTATTTCATGTAGCAGATTGAGAGTACAGATTTACTTCATCAAATTAGACATATGTAACTTCGAGGAAGCCAGGCCTTTGTCCACAGATTCAACGAACAGTCAAAAAGAAGAAAATTGTTGGTCTAGAAATACAGGATACAGTCAAGATAACGTACTTGTTTCAACAGAATAGCCATCTCCCATGATAGATATTCATGAGAGATTAAAAATCCCCCAATGATGTTATGTGGTAATTCCAGAGGTTAGCAGGAGGATCGCTTCTGAAAATCAGAGTTCAGGAGATTAAAGGCCATCCAGAGATGGTAATAAACCTGAAATAACTCCACAGAGACTGGTATCCCGTCACCAAGTCACCCTTTACTTATAGATGAACAGTTCTTGACTTTAATACAGACTCAGGTACTATTGCCAATATCTCTGACTTTCACCCTTTTTATGTCAGCCAGGTCTCCCTGATTGGGCATGTTAATCTGGTCCAATCAGGGAACTCATTTTCTATGAAGTCCAGTTGGCTAACTTCATTGCAATCATTACAGGACCAATGATTCTATCCACCAGCAATGACTTCTGAGATAAATATCTAAAAAATATAAGATCCACCAGTATGTTGATGTGATGCTATTCAGATCAAAGTTAACAGTCTTCAAGCAAAAGACCCACCATTTTTCCAAGTCCGAAGAGAGTGCATACTGGGAAAATTGTGAAACGTCCAGACTGCCTGCATTGTTGAGCTCAGAGATTTATTAGATTAATGTATAATGATTAACTATGATTTAAAAATTTTTGAGGAGTTGGG